TAGGGGTAGAAAGTCTAAACCAGACTGTGTTAAATCTATTACACACCTTGAAAGTGAAAAGCAGAATAAGTGGGCAGAATATAATCTAGAGTTGTTGCAAGCGTACAACAATACTGTCCACAGTTCTACAGGTTTTGCCCCCGCTTACCTTATGTTTGAGCACCATCTGAGACTCCCAGTAGACGTAGAGTTGGGAGTAGCGCCCCACCAACCCAGTTTGGCACTTAGTGGGTGGGTGGAAGACCATGATCGAAAACTAACTTTAGCTTACAAACTCGCTATGGATAGGATGGGTCATGCTTTGAAAACAGGAGCTCAGGTCCTCAATAAGACGAGCAGCTCCATCAGCCAGATCACAGGGAGGGACCCCCCACCCCAAAAAAAGCAATTTAGGGGATTGGATTACAGCGTGATTATTGTTCTGCTTCCATCCACTGAAATTAGGTAATTGCTGATTCCTGTAAATATTATTTTGTGTATTTTGTAACCAGGGCTTAATTGAATGTTAGTGTCCACTGATTCCTCCCAAATGCATCTCAGCCCCCAGAAGGTCTGTTTCTGATTCATTGTGGAGGTGGAACCCTGTTTCCATCTGTTCCCCAAACAGCTATCTACTTTTATTCTGCTGGCTCTGACAGGTACAGGAAGACAAAAGTCAATAATTAGCTTCCTGCAATAAAAGCTGCAGACAAAGAGGTTTTAGCACAGCTTCACACTTCAGCGTCTAGACTGGTTTCTATTTATTTATTTATTGTCTGAGACTCAATGTCCAAATATGGTCTTCCGGGTGTGGAAAGAATCTCTGAATAGTTCATGCACCGTTACAGTAAACAATCGTATTTTGCTGCCATGGTAACCAAAGCAAAACGCATCTGCCTGCACTAATTCCTAAGACCAACATCAGCCACGTGTATTATTTTCACCAGTAAGTGCGGTCCAAACAAAGGTACTTAAAATATCTATTTTATATCAACATGTTTGTGTTTTAATCACATTTCAATCACATTTCAATAAAAAATGAAACTAGTTTTATAACGCGTGTAATAATAATAAATAACTTTTACTTACATGTTTAAATTAATAAGACAAAATAGAATCTGTGGCCTTTCCTCACCTCTTCACCAGAGGGGAGAGGTATCTACCCCACCTGCAATATTTAAATCCCCCCTCGACACAAGTACACCAAATCACTTTTGTTATCCTGGCAATTTTGTAAAAAGCCAAATATGTGGCAAACACAGGTTTTCTTTCTCCCCTTATTACATATAATCTTTGTAATCAATCATTCTTTTTAATATTTCTTGAATATTCTTTTTAATATTTCTTGAATATTTTCATGAATATTCTACTACTACTGGTACTATCTCCACTTCCCCGTTGGACCCCGGCCAGCAGGCGTCACATGGACTAGTGGCTCCTGTACATACTGAAGGGTGACGCAGAGACAGGAAGTCAGAGGTCTGAGACACCGAGCTGACGTATGTTACCTCAAATGAATAACTGCCACAACTCCACAAACAGAGGAACACATTTTATTGATTAGATGAAGGACAAACGGACAGATTTGCTATAAGTGACATGAATATTCTTTTGCATATATTTTTTGAATATGTTTTTGAGATTTTTTAATACGTATTTGAATATGTTTTTTCAACAACCAATAACTCACTGGTTCCCTAGGAAGGTCACTTCTTTTGTTTTCCTGGCAATTTTGTTGAAAGCAAGATATGTGGTAAACACAGATTTTCTTTCTACCCTTATTGCATATCATAATCTTTCTAATCAATCATTCTTTTGAATATTTTTTGACCATTCCTTTTTCAATATCAATATCCAACTAGCTCCCTATGAAGGTCACTTCTTTTGTTTTCCTGGCGAATTTGGCAGTCGGGCTCATCAACAGAGCCCCCACTGAACTTTTAAAATATTTTTTAACTTTAACTTTATTCTCTTATTTTAAAATAACCCATAGCCTTTCTACTAACCCATAGCATTTCATTGTATTACTTGTGCACTGCTGTCTTGTTGTCTATTGTTATACTGTCCACTGTTACGCACCAACCGCCAAGTCAAATTCCTTGTATGTATAACAAATGTTTCCTGATTCCTGAATTTGTAGAAAGCAAGATATGTGGCAAACATAGGTTTTCTTGTGCAAATGTTCAGCCTGTGTGCTAGAGTGTGCTTACCCTCACAAGCACATGTTGTAATAAATATGCGGTTACTACATATCGGTTTGTCACTGGGGGGGCTCGGTGCAGAAGTGATGGTAATATTAAAACGTTTCTTTTCACTCACTCTGCTAAAGAGAATATTCTCCTTATTTGCTGAGGGCTTCTAGAGCCCCCTGAAGGCCCCACAGGGAACCGTTACGTCCGTTCGTTAATTACTGAACCAGACCACAGACCAGGTGAAAGTGAAAGCACAGACTTTGCTCGTTGAATGCACTGTAATGAATCACATGCGGCCGTCTGTGTCAGACACAATAGCTGCTGGTAGATTGCATCATTGGCTAATTTTGACCCAGGAGATGCCCCCTATCTGGCAGGCGAGAGAGAGGGAGCGGAGGAACCATGTGTGTATGTTTGGAAACCTACTGCCCCGCTGCTGCTAATGATTCTGCCGCTGCTGCAATCACCTGCAATCCTTTCGAAGCCTCCCCACTTCTGCCGGTTGCCCGGAGACCGGGTCGCCTAGGCCACAGACCTAACGATACTGGGAGAGGATGCAGAGGACAAGGATGGAGACAAAGATATAAAGAGAGGAGTGGATTTGGACCAAAAGTTGGGGTGAGTAAGGGAGAGCGTGAGCGATGATGGGATTATGAGACATTTGTATCCTGTTGTAGCGCCCTTGAGCAGAAAGCTGAATCCACAACCGGCAGAATAAAGACCAGACACCACTTTGTCCTCACATGCCCAAAGAAACATCAATAATAGAGGACTTTTTTTTCAGGTCTCATCTTTTTATAAAAAACAAACAAAGACAAAGCATCTAGAGGAGGTGCACTTTTTACAGGAATTATTCCTGCTCCAGGTTGGAGAGCTGACGTTATGATGGCTGTACTCCAAAGGAAAAAAGCTGCCAAAGACACACGCTGTCTTTGGCAAAAAAGAACAATTTAAATTTTTGGGATCCTAATATTTGGGATCAGCAAACTACTTCAAGCTTTAAAGTAGTACTGCATATTTAATTTTGTTGGAAATGCTTTTATTGGACGTAGGCTATTTCTGATATTATTACACTGATAATTTTGACTGTTTAATCATATAATAATTAATTAATAATTTGACTGGTCGCTGTTATGGTCAAAAAAGAACAATTTAAATTTTTGGGATCCTAATATTTGGGATCAGCAAACTACTTCAAGCTTTAAAGTAGTACTGCATATTTAATTTTGTTGGAAATGCTTTTATTGGACGTAGGCTATTTCTGATATTATTACACTGATTATTTTGACTGTTTAATTGCTTAGAAGCCTTAAAGTCACTATCGTTGGTCCCGGGTTTTCAGAAAGCTTCACAAAGGTTCAACGGGATGTCGTTGCATTGACAGATCACACAGGTGGTGTACGTTGGTGTCACACAGGTGGTGTACGTTGGTGTCACACAGGTGCTGTAGCTCGGTGTCACACAGGTGGTGTAGCTTGGTGTCACACAGGTGGTGTACGTTGGTGTCACACAGCTGTTGTAGCTTGGTGTCACACAGGTGGTGTACGTTGGTGTCACACAGGTGGTGTAGCTTGGGATCACACAGATGTTGTAGCTCGGTGTCACACAGGCGGTATAGCTTTGTGTCACACAGATGTTGTAGCTCGGTGTCACACAGGTGGTGTAGCTTGGTGTCACACAGGGGGTGTAGCTCGGTGTCACACTGGGGGTGTAGCTTGGTGTCACACAGGTGGTGTACGTTGGTGTCAGACAGGTGGTGTACGTTGGTGTCACACAGGTGGTGTAGCTTTATATCACACAGGTGGTGTACGTTGGTGTCAGACAGGTGGTTTACGTTGGTGTCAGACAGGTGGTGTACGTTGGTGTCACACAGGTGGTGTACGTTGGTGTCAGACAGGTGGTTTACGTTGGTGTCAGACAGGTGGTGTACGTTGGTGTCACACAGGTGGTGTAGCTTGATGTCACACAGGTGGTGTACGTTGGTGTCAGACAGGTGGTGTACGTTGGTGTCACACAGGTGGTTTACGTTGGTGTCAGACAGGTGGTGTACGTTGGTGTCAGACAGGTGGTGTACGTTGGTGTCAGACAGGTGGTGTACGTTGGTGTCACACAGGTGGTTTACGTTGGTGTCAGACAGGTGGTGTACGTTGGTGTCACACAGGTGGTTTACGTTGGTGTCAGACAGGTGGTGTACGTTGGTGTCACACAGGTGGTTTACGTTGGTGTCAGACAGGTGGTGTACGTTGGTGTCACACAGGTGGTTTACGTTGGTGTCAGACAGGTGGTGTACGTTGGTGTCAGACAGGTGGTTTACGTTGGTGTCAGACAGGTGGTGTACGTTGGTGTCACACAGGTGGTGTATGTTGGTGTCACACGGTGGTGTAGCTTTGTGTCACACAGGTGGTGTATGTTGGTGTCACACAGGTGGTGTACGTGGGTGTAGCTCTACACACTGGGCTTGTCCAAACTGGGTGAGAGGTCAGGCTGGTTTGTCTTTAGGCTACAGGAGCCAAATCGAAATGTGATATGAAGTGATTTCATTGGTCTAAACCTTTTTAGGAGACATTTCCTAAGAGCGAAACCCGACAAAAGCCCACATGCACCGCTGCTATCAGCCATGAGATTTGACGTGCATGGAATGTGCTGTTTACGTAGTTCGGGGGACATGGTGTACTATCTCCACTTTCCCATTGGACTCCGGCCAGCAGGCGTCACGTGGACCAGTGGCTCCAGAACATACTGAAGTGTGACCCAGAGACAGGAAGTCAGAGGTCTGTGGCAACGAGCTGACGTATGTTACTTCAAATAAATCACTGCCACAACTACACAAACAGAGGAACACATTTTATTGATTAGACAAACGGACAGATTTGCTATAAGTGACTTTCTGCCCGTATGATGTTACCACGAGAAGCTGAGAGTCACAAAGTGTTTGAATCTCTCCGGTCAACAGAATAACTTCCATCTCCACAAGGCTTTATGTTCCATCAAATAAGAAAACAAGACAAAACTCAAAATTAACTACAAGCTCCATAGGGCATAAATAAGTTACATTACTAGGTCAGTGTGTAAGGCATACAAAACAACATTCCACATGTTAATATAAGAAAGTGTCAGTCAGTGCAACAGTCACAAAATGTATAAAACCTTCTGAGGTACATGGTTGTACAACTTGACACCAAACATCAAAGTTGGCCTAACATCAAAGTTCCTAATTGGCCTAAAATCAAAACCACCGTCGCATGGCAACCAATCGTGAGTTCTCATCCGGGAGAGGAAACGAAACATTGTTTGAAACGTTGTTTTTTGTGTTCATTTTGAGGCAGCGTCCAGGTAGGCGCGCATCCCGTCCCGGTGGTCGGGGGACAGGCAGCGGCCGATGGTCTGCTCCGCCTCCCAGACCCGTCTCTGGAAGCGGTCCCGGTCGCGCGCCATTTCCTCCCAGTGTCCTTTGCGAGACGCATAGCGAGCAAACTGCCAGGTCCGCATGACGTGGACTTGGACTTCAGGAGAAAAATGTACCTGAACAACCGAAGAGAATGAGACAATGGAAATTTAGTGCTTTTGGTGAAAATGGTAGAAAGGCGCTATGTCTTCTGATGACACCGCAAGTTTCTCCACAAATAGTTTGCAACAACGCTGCAACTTCACATCCAGCCGAACTCTCTGCTGACGCTGCACAGTCACATGACACTGCTTAGTCATGGACACTGGCTGCGTTGCTAACCGACAAGAAATAACAAGCCCGACACCCGACAAAAATAAGGCCTTTTGACACCATCAACACACCAAGAGCTATATTCTTTGTCTTCATGAATTAAAGTTAACTCCTAATCCCAATGGATTCAATTTAGCCCCGCCTGGTAGATCAACGCTGTTGTGAGATAATGACCTTTTTTCGGGTGCCGCTACGCTGGCCTCTCCTCTTCTCCGGCGGCGGTGTCTGCGTTGTTCGTTCTGCCCTCTTCCAGGGCACCACGGTTTTCTCTGGATGGGCGTGGCGCTTCAACTTCCTCGCCGTCAGCGCGGGCTTGGTGGCTCTGGCTTCCTGGGACTCCTCGCTGTGTGGATCTGGCGCGTGGTGGACATCAACTGATTCTAGCTCGTCTCCGAGTGGCTCAACGGACGCCGAGGAGCTCTGCAGGCGAGCCTGGAAGTTGAGGGGGTGATGCGGGTCGTCCTTTTGGCCGAGCCATTCCCACAGGGCCTCCTCTTCCTCGTCGGATGAAGGGGGAAAGCTGCCCTCCTTCTCCTCTGTGTCCGACTTGGAGGCCAGCGAGGGCCGTGGTTTGGGGACTGTGGTGACGGAGGTGGTGGTGGTTTGTGGCGGGGTGCTGTTGAACGTGCACGCGGTGAAGCACATGGGATTGTAGGGGTCGTCGGGGCTGCTGAAGAACTCCAAGAGCCTCTCGCTCTCCTCGTCCATGTCGGGGCTGGAACCCTCGGAGCTGGCCCAGCTGCTCCAGCTGCTCTCGCTGTCGCTGCGGCTGACCCAGACGCTGAGGCCTCGCGGCCCCAGCGTCTCCTCGCCCGACGACACGAGGTCGGGGTCTCCCCGCGCCGCGCTGTCGAACTCCATCACGTTCTGGTCGTCTTCGCTGCTCCAATGGCAGCTTCTCTCCTCTTCGGAGGCGTCCTGGCTGAACGCTCTCTCGCCGTTTTTGTGGCAGCCGTCGTTGGACCCGCAGCTGTCGCCACTCGACAAGGAGATGTTCCAGTCACCGGGGAAGCCCATCTTCCAGCCGGACTGGCGTCCCAGGAAGACTGCGTCCTCATTGCCGGAGACGTCCACCATGCTGCCGCACAGGTCGTCGGCGCGCAGGGTGGACAGCAGGGCCTCAGCGCTGGACTTCCCGGCGAAGGGGTCGCCCACCTCGGTGCAGAAGTTAGAGAGGGGGTTGGCACCGCCGACCATCACACCGCTGTCTCCGTCGAACAGCGAGGAGAAGAGGAAGGAGTCGGTCTGGTTTGCCGCCGTGGTCATGTGCTGGATGCGCTGGCCTGTCTCGTCTGTGATTCTCACGTGAACCTCGAACCTGAACATCTGGAAAACTGGGAAAAGCGGCAGAAGAGTGCAAAATTCAAAATGAAATAATTTCAAAAGAACTTTCAGGTGATTTATGATCACCTATTGATGAAAGAAAAACACTTAAAAAAGGTTCTGCTTTGACACCAGTGCTATGTGACTCATACCATAATTAACAATACAAAGATAAATACCGCGATAACATGGAACAATAGGCGGATTGGGACAAAAGAAATAACATAACTGGGCTAGAGACCAATTGGGGCTCGTAAGAACAGGCATCCAGGTGGGTTATTAGAGTGGCTTTATTTTGAATAAACGATTTAAAACCGTTAAATGGGAGTAACACCAAACGATCCCAGTTAATTACATTACATTACATGTCATTTAGCGGACACTTTTATCCAAAGCGACGTACAATAAGTGCATTAATCAAACGTTACAACGTTAGATTAACTGGGATCGTTACGGTTCCGATTGGGGGGGGAACAAAATGAATACAAGTTTCGCCCCGACATCATTGTGTGGCTCTTACCCGACACGAAGGTGTAGTAGATGACCTGAAGGAGCAGTCGGAGCTGTTCCCACAGCACGGTGAGCATCTGTTTAGTCCACGGCAGCAGCGCCGCACCCCCGCTACCGAACTTCTCCATCGCAGCCCGCTCGGAACCAACAACCGCGGCCATTTCTTCACTTATTGGGCCGACAACGAAAATATCCTCACGTATTCTGGTATTCCTCGTCAAAAAACAGATTTCGCGTATTTGTCGGTGACTGATGTTCGTCGATGGGATGTCGCTTCATTTTCTGGCAAGTAAGTTCCATTTCTGGATTTCCTTCGTCAAATAATCTTGAGTGTTTTCTCCATGTTTATCAGCTGTGTCGTCGTTGTTGTAGTGGAGCGTTAATGTCTCGAGCTTACGACACCGTTCTATTTAAGAGAAACCGTGACGTAGAGCAAGGCTGTGATTGGTGCCCATCTCTGTCGATCCCCAAACATCCCGCCCTTCCCGTAGTACACTGCTTCGCTTTACGTATTCGTTTTACGTAACGTCATTACGTGTGACGCATGGAAATTGCCAGTAACCGTTAGGAAACCCAAAGTCAATGAGAAATAATGGGCGCATGAAACGTGGAATTAGACTCAAAAACAAAATGCACTTTGACGGTGCATTCCCAGTTTCATTATCGTTTGGTCCACATTTGTATAAAACGAAAATGTTTGCTTCATCACCACACTGCCTAGATATTATATTTCTAAACATTTACATTTGAAAATTTGAAAAACACTCGACAATCTAAATAAAGACAATATAACTATTTCCAATTTCAATCTTTTATTAGTCCAAAAACTGATACGTACTACTTCCAGTTGGGGGCCAGCACTCTTGGTCTTGTAGTACCGGGCCAGCCTGTGGATCCTGCTTTCAGTGAGAATCAGGCGGAACTTGGCATCCTTATCCTGTTTGCATAAAAATGTTGCGTGTATGAAGTGGCCATTGCTGTGGCTTCCTTTGTACGTTACTCCCTAGGCATTTTTATCAGAGTACAATTTAAGAATAGTTTTTTAAATTACGATTTTTAAAAATTGACAAATTCAAACCATTCAAACACAAGAGTAATTGTCTACTCAATGCTAATTAGCAAGACAGTATGCGAGTGACCTGGGCAAAACGTTTTAATCTTTTGCAACTCACTGGCTCAGTATAAGATGGGTAGAAATTTACCTCCAAACATCTGAGAAAGTGTTTTATAGACACAAAGCCTCCGAGCTTTCAGGTAACAGATGGTTTCAGTATTTTGGGGACTGTACCTTTCTGTTCCTCTCCAGATACTTAGTGGTGGCCACCGCCTTCTTGATGAGGTGGTAGAGATCCTCAGGCAGATCAGGGGCCAGGCCCTTGGCCTTAAGGATCCTCAGGATCTTGTTGCCAGTAACAAAACGTACTTGGGCCACACCATGGGAGTCCCTCAGAATCACACCTGGACAAGTTGAGAAACGGAATTGAAACTCAGACTGTGTGTGTTTATTCATCATATCAGCTCTTTTATGACAAACGGGGGTAAATAAAAGTAGACCAAACTAATGGCAGGATCAATAGCTTTTGCTTATTTACTTCCCTCTCAAAACATATCCAACTGATGTGTTTGGTTAGACAAAAGAATGCTCCATGTGCTGTTATAGATTTCCAAACGAAAATATCAATAGCCTTCAATTACACAATTATTCATTTTGCACTTCATGTTGGCAGTCTTGTTAGTTGGCCCGCATATATAGTATAAGAGTTAATAAATTTGCGAGAAGGCGAGAAACTCAATTTAATAAATCAGTTATGACACATATTGTTCTTCCGAATTGAAGTCCATTTACTCTATTAATATAACGTTAACCAATAGCAATGACAGGATGTGAAGTTCCGTTTCATTTAGGTTTAAGTCAAATAAAATATATATATAATATTTTATTTAAGTAAGTTTATATATAAATATACGTTTAAAGATGCTAGATGACAAAAACACACATTTTGCAATCACCCACATCCTTGACTTGGCTACATATTTTAATCTTTAATACAACCTTAGAAACTGTTTAATAGTAATTTAAAATCAGTGGAAACATTTATAACCCATCAACCGTATTGTGTGACGTTACTTACAGTGGGAACACTGCGCCTGTAAGGCAGAGCTGACTGGGACAGGCCCTTTCTGTGAAGAACAGACAGAGACAATAAGACACACTGGAATTCAACTCAGAGACACGTGAAAGCAAATATCATATGCACATTTAAGGTGTCTATTAACGTTGGTTAGCTTAACTGCAACCACGGGATGTTAATTGTCTTAAAGGTTGATGGCCGGGCTAACGGCAAATGTAAGCTAACGTTAGCTACTCACTCATGTTAGCGATGCCGGTTGTGAGTCTTTAACGCTATCTGATTTCGTCATACAAGTTGATTTTTTTCTTTCCGGCCAGTTAAGTAATCATGCATATCCGCTATGACTGTGTACTTGGACCCTCAATACCTCATCCCTGGTAAAGAAAGCACACCAGCATCTCTTCTTCCTGAGGAGACTGAAGAAGGCCCATCTGTCTAATCAGATTCTAGAGAATTTCTACCGCTGTACCATATGTATGGCAGCTGCTCTGTTGCGGACCGTAAATCACTGCAGAGGGTGGTGAAAACTGCCCAACGCATCACCGGTTCCTCACTCCCCACCATTGAGGCTGTCCAGAGCAAGAGATGTCTGGAGGGCACGCGGCTCTCACCCCAGCCACAGACTGTTTGCCCTCCTCCCCTCTGGGAGGCGCTACAGGGTGCTCCGTTCCCGGACCAGCAGGTTCAGGAACAGCTTCATCCCTGCGGCTGTCTCTCTACTGAACTCTGCCCCCCACCCACACCCCCACACATCTCCCTCAGTGACTGTACTCCCCCCTCCACCCTGGCTTGACTGCCACACCCTCCTCCAGCCACTGAACTGTTATTGCATATCCATTTCTTACTGTTCATATTGCACAACTATTTCTTACTGTACATATCTATTTATTCACTTATTACACTTTACATATGCACATACTCTGCACTTTTTGATATTTTGCACTTCTGGTTGAATGTTAAACTGCATTTTGTTGCCTCAGTACTTGTACCCTGTGCAATGACAATAAAGTTGAATCTAATCTAATCTATCTAAGACATAACTGTCTTACATATAAGACAAAGTCAAACAGCAAAATCGTGGTGAGCTCCCTTCGCTGTTAGCTAATGCTAGCTAATGTCAGCCGGAGATGGATGTCGAACAGTGGGTGGGCATATGCAAGTTATTAATATGTTCCTAGACTGGATTTAAAGGCTTAATTTACTCCTTAGAACTCCATAACATGTTCCCAAGCCATAACAACTCATTGAAGTCAAACTTTAGACAGAATCCGCTTTAAATCAAGAAAAGCAAGCTTACCCGGGAGCGTGCATGCGACTCATGATGGCGGGGAGGAAGAGAGGCCGCACATGTGACAGAAAATGGTATTATTATTACGCGAGATTGTTATGAACGTTATATTTAGGGCACTCGCTATGACTAGTCGTAGAGAAACCTATTGTATTTCAAGGAATTACTATGGCCTGAGCCAACTGCAAGTCGGGCGAAAGCCTGATTGTGTTTCGAATAATTATTCTTATTATTTTACCGATTTAATCGCACTTTTGAGGCCTTTATCATATTCAAAAACTCTTGAAATTTTGCATGGGTATCAGAAGTGGGAAAAAATTTGATAATTTCGGTGTCGCGCATTTGGGTTCGATATAACGGCTATCTAGCGCCCCCTAGGTACGTTTCCTCTGGGAGAGTCTTTTTTTTAGTTTCACCGATTGACTTGAAACTTTGCACACAGGTGCTCTTGGATATGCTCTTCAAAAAAGACAATCATGGTATGCAAATGCGACTGGCAAAATCTAATCTAATCTAATCTAATTTTCAAAATGTGAAACATTTGACTCATTTTCAGTCACATTATAACAAAGTTTCATATACTATTGAAACAAGGATTTTCTTAGCTTTCTAAAGACATCACATCATCAGTCGGTGCCGGTGATCAGATGATGGTTTGACTTCTTTCAGGGTTTTCACGTGTTTGAGATTGTTGCTGCCTAGTTGCCTTGAAATGAATTGCAACTTTGTCATGAAGGCTTTCACAAAGATATGCATTTCATGAGCAAAAAGGCCCTTGCCCTGCAGCTGTGTGTTCAGTTCATTCATCACTGCAGTCACATCAACAGCAAATGTTCAATCTGCCATCCAGTCCTCATCAGACAGCTCTGGGATGGTTTTGTCTTTCATCTCACTAAACTCTTTTATCTCAAAACCTTTTTAGCACTTTGCCCAGACTGAGCCATGTGACAGCTGTGTGGTACCGGACATCACCATGTTCGCTCTCTTGCTCCTACATCAGTGAAACAAACGGCCTGTGATTTAATGCTCGCGCTCCGATGAAATTAACTGTTGAAATGATGAAATTAACCTGCCAGTCTGTCCCATTGTAGTCCCGGTTTGTCCATGCATGCGTTTGCCTCGGTGAACAGATCACTCCCCGTCGTGGTTCCTTTCATTGGCCGCATTGCTGCCAGCTCCTCCGTAAGCTTGAAGTCGCTCGTCGTCCACCGGGGAGATATGAGCAGCTTTGCCGTGTGACGGACGTCACAGCGCTCATCCAAAGCTTCACGCGTCACCTTGTAGCTGAAACTCCAGATTCTCCGCGATGTCCTCCACCCTCCTCGTCACGGTGCGGCGGGGCAGCTGGATGTTGTAAACGCTTCTTTTTTCTCTGGGCAGCAGCGCTGCAGACTCGACCACGCACTCTTTCACAAACTGCCCCTTACAGAATGGCTTAGAGTTCTGGTTCTGGTCGCTGCATCTCTGGCTGCAGCTTTGTAAAACAGCCGTGTTGTTTATCCAGCTTTGCTAGTAAATCCGTTGATGCGCGCTCGTTCGGCATCAGTCAAGTTTTTGTATTTATCGCCATGTTTGGTCTCGTAAAGCCGTTTCAAATTGTACTCTTTAAACACGGCGACATGCTCCACACAAACCAAACACACAGGTTTACCTTTGACTTCCTTAAAGAAAGAAATATTAGTCCATTTTTGTTTGAAACAGAAGATAGATAGTTCAGGGGTGACCCGGAGGGGAGACAGGTTGTCAATCACACGCATTTCACGTGCACAGTTGACGTGCACCGTGAGAATAAATGGGCTTCAAAATGAAAGCAATGCGGTTTTAGTTAGAAAATATGTTTTTTTTCTAAATCATGTAGTTTTTCGCGGGCCGGTCAGAATCATGCCGCGCACCGCATTTGGCCCACGGGCCGTACAATGCCCAGGTCTGCTCTAGAGTCATGCCCTCACCTGGAAGAGAAGACTCACAACGAAAAGATCACATTCTTAAAAGAAAATGGTGTTTGCTTTGCCTGTTTATGTACAGGATATATCAGCAAGATTGTCAAAAACGGTTGACATGCCAAGTGTGTTGTATGAAGCACCCCACAATGCTTCATATTCAGTTTAAGGAGAAGCAAGCAAAATCTGAAACTGAACAAGAGCCAGGCACGGCAGTGGGCAGAGCCTTAATGTCCAATGGCCTCACTGGGGCTGGTGAGGAAGATTGTAAACTTCCCATAGTCCCAGTTCAGGTTAAGTCTAGGAAAGGTCTAGGAAAGAAAGACAGTGCTCACTTATGCTTTCCTAGATCAAGGAAGCACTGCTGTTGGTGTAACTCTCGAACCATTCCTTTTGTAAAATTTGTTTGCTTTCGGGTAGCAAAGGGATCAATGACTTATGTAGCTCAATGGCCGTGTCGTGGAGCTGAATAAGGGTTTGTATTTGTTGTTGCACCTGATGTACATTTTCCTTTCTTTTCATAAGCTCTTTTATAGCAGGAATTAGCGCTTTGATTTTATCTACGCGCACCTTTCCCTCCTTTTGAAGTTTTTCAATTTTTATTGCCAAAGCCTTTGCAGTTAGTTTGACTTCTCGTTTTTCCATTGTTTCGGAAACATTATTCACGTCGCGATCAGTTTTCACAGTGCACTGTTGTGTTCAAAAATGAAGAAACGCTGGACGGACAGAGGTCATCGCTGATCAAAAGGTTAAAATCAAATGTATTTAATAAAGGAGATGGCGTTGCGGTAAAAAGAACATCTCAGCTGAGGAGCCGCTGGTCTTTGCAACCAACAGGCCCCAGGTCAGTCCTTTGACCATCCCTAGTGCCCGTCTGTCGCCTCCACCAGTGAACTCGAGAACAATGGTTCCTACAGGTATTTATAACAATGCTTAAAGGTGTGAAAGTCAGTGTCCACACCTCTGGGAGTCTTCTGGTGAGTTCAATGTAACTCGGATTTCGAATGATCCATAGTCAATATCAGTTGTTGTTCAAGTATTACATGCATGCATTCCAGTTGATTACATTACATCAAATACAATCATAACTACATCGATATTATTCTATTACAGTTGCAGAATTACAGTGGTTTTACAATATTGTCATTACTTTATTGATTACACAGTTTCAGAATTATGGCTGTATTCTGGTGTACACTATATGCATTTTTATTAATTTTATGAACCGGATCGTCAATTTGTTTCTAATATCCTACAGCACCAACTAGTCAATAGCGTTCAATTAAATTCACGTTTCCAAACGGGATTCAACATCCGATTCCCCACTGCCAAGCCAAACAGTTCGACAATCGACGTAGGCGAACGTCACCCGCAAAGACGGCGATCCCCAATGGACACCCGCAAACCATCAAACTTTCCAAACGCAGCATGAATGAGAGTGGGGATTTTGCGTGCCTACCGTGGCTGTTCGCGTTGGGATGAATCCGTGGCTCGGTAAGGATCTCTGTCGCGATGTATCTGTAATCCAACTTTCTTCTTCGGATCCATAACCCCGTAATCCGACAGGAATCCGTGATAAAGACTGCACGTTTGTTGTATGCAACTGATTACTTATTTGTTTACTTTTTTGTTGACAAATGTGGTGACTACAATCCGGTAGAGTCACGTGAGGCTAAGTACGGGAGATTGGTGTGTGGACTCGTTCCAAACAGACGCAGATTCCTCCTGTGAAGGTCATTGATTTTATTGTCCGAAAGTTAAGTTAAAAAACATCCAAGCAGGTGTAGGATATTAGAAACAAATTGAAGATCCGAGTTACATTGAACTCACCAGAAGACCACTCCCAGAGGTGTGGACACTAACTTTCACACCTTTAAGCATTGTTATAAATACCTGTAGGAACCATTGTTCTCGAGTTCACTGGTGGAGGCGACAGACGGGCACTAGGGATGGTCAAAGGACTGACCTGGGGCCTGTTGGTCGCTGAGACCAGCGGCTCCTCAGCTGAGATGTTCTTTTTACCGCAACGCCATCTCTTTTATTAAATACATTTGATTTTAACCTTTTGATCAGCGATGACCTCTGTCCGTCCGGCGTTTCTTCATTTTTGAACACAACACAGGCGAAGCGATACGTGCTGTGCGACGATGCAATAAAGTGCGCTGTAGAATACGGTCAACAAAAAGTATCGTCTCCCGACTCACCCCCATGTCCATACAACCATCACTCCGCCTTGATGCCTACACTCATTCATAAACCACTGCACCCCTGCCCACGTGACTCTGATGCTAATTACATTTCAAAATAAAAGTACCAACACTCACACACAGGAAGTGGCAGACGGCCGCTACACTATTTGTGTAGGGAGCACTTTTGAAAAACCACCATTCAGCATAAAAATCAATCAATTCAGTCAATTAAAGTTGTTTTAACTCAACCATACTTTATCTAATCTGCTCCATATTTCTCATTTAGCATGAAATTCTCACCCTGTAGGCCTCCATATGATCATTTTAAACCTTAGTCATAGCGCCACCTGGGGAAAACAGGAAGTTGAATGTTTTTTTTAGTTTACACCCTGTTCCTCACAGGTTTTTTTTCCTCAAAAGGCAATTTGAGCCCTCTCAAAATTTCCTAGCAGAGAGGTAACACCTTGATAATGCTTCACTGTGAATATTATAAGAATTTGATAATCGGTGGCGAGATGGTGCATCGGCAAAGTTGATGCTTTGCCAAGAACAACTAAACCGTTGTAACTCTACTGGACAACATCGGATTCTTTCCAATGTATACATGTTTGATGACACTCTGGGCCTGAAGAGATGAAAAGTTGAATCAGGTCATAGCGCCACCTACTGGTATCAGGAAGTCAAATTTTCTAGTATCAAGTAAAAAATGAAGGTGCCATTTCGAAAGGCTTTAATTTAGAGAATGGTACATCAGAATGTCCTGCTTATCCCTGGATGACATTTTGGGGATGTGTAGTATGAACCTGAAGTGGAATTATCATGTAGCTATTGGTCGTTTCCTTTTTAAATACCATCTGAAATTGATTATAAGTCTGGTGGATGAGATTTAAAAGAAAGTTTGGTGATCTATGATGACATTTCGCGTCGCTCCACGCAGTTAACGACAACTGACTCTTGGATGCTTTGTCCGACGGCCGCAGGAGTTCTTGGCTGCTTATCTAGCCGTCCGGCCTGTGCCCCGACGATGCAGAGTTGCGAGGACCCGTCCAACGCTGCTCGCAGCTTTAATTAGGGTCCTTGCAACGACTAGTCGTAGAGGAAGCTATTGTATTGCGAAGAATTATTATTATTATTATTCTCTCACGCAACGATTGCCTTTTTGGGGACTTTATTATATTCAAAAAGTTGATAGATTTGGCACGCTTATCAGAACTAGTGAAAAATTTGATAATTTTGGGGTCTCGCATTTGGGTACAAAGAAATGTCTCTATAGCGCCCCTTAGAAATTTGAAAAGTATCCCACTAGGCCATTTTTTTCCCCCGATGCCTGATTAACTTGAAATTTGGCACACATGTGCTCTTGGACATGCTCTACAAAAAAGTCAATCATGGTATGCAAATGCACCTAACTAGACTTTCCGCCATTTTGAATTTTTGAAAAACCCGTTTTTGGCAATTTCTCCTAAACGCTATATCCGATTGTCACTAAATTATCTGTGGATCATTATTGGATCAACATACCCTTGCCCTCTCAATATCATGTTGATATGTTCTTGATTTGAGAAGATATGGGCTAATGAACTTCGCAAGGGGTGTGGCTTAATCTTGCAAGAGTCATAACTTCCAAATGATTTGGCCTGCCCTAACCATACTTGTAACACATGTGAACATTGAACCCCTGAACACACCCTGATTGTTTGACAATATTTGAAGAATAGGAGGCGCTGCAATTAATCGTTGAAAATCTGCCTTTTTGGCTTCTTTTTGGCCTATTTTCGTGGTTTCCTAGAGTTGTAAAAGAACAAACTCCTCTCAGGGATTAAACCCGATTCTTTTCAAAATCACACATTGTGATCTTGAGGACCTTACCTCTAAAAATTGTATTCTGCCGGATGAAATTCCAAACTATGTGTAGAGAGCATTTTCAAAAAACCACCATTCGGCATAAAAATTAAAGTTGTTTTAACTCGACCATACTTTATCTAATCAGCTCCATTTTTCTCATATAGCAGAAACTTCTCACCTTGTATATATGATCATTTTTAACCTTAGTCATAGCGCCACCTGGGGAAAACAAGAAGTTGAATGTTTTTTTTAGTTTACACCCTGTTCCTCACAGGTTTTTCTCCTCAAAGGTCAATCTGAGCCCTCTCAAAATTTCCTAGCAGAGAGGTAACACCTCGATAATTCTTCACTGTGAATATTATAAGAATCTGATAATCGGTGGCGAGATGGTGCATCGGCAAAGTTGATGCTTCGCAAAGAACAACTAAACCGTTGTAACTCTACTGGACAACATCGGATTCTTTCCAATTTATACATGTTTGATTACACTCTGGGCCTAAAGTGATGCATAGTTGAATCATGTCATAGCGCCACCTACTGGTTTTAGGAAGTCAAATTTTCTAGTATCCAGTAAAAAACGAAGGTGCCATTTGGAGAGTCTTTAATTTTGAGAATGGTACATCAGAATGTCCTGCTTATCCCTGGATGATATTTTGGGGATGTGTAGTATGAACAGGAAGTGGAATTATCATGTAGCTATTGGTTGTTTCCTTTTTAAATACCATCTGAAATTGATTATAAGTCTGGTGAATGAGATTTAAGGGAAGGTTTGGTGACCTATGACATTTCGCGTCGCTCCACTGGGTTAACGACAACTGACACTTGTATGCTTTGTCCGGCGGCCGCGCAGGAGTTCTTGGCTGCTTATCTAGCCGTCCGGCCTGTGCCCCGACGTGCGGAGTTGCGAGGACCCGTCCAATGCTGCTCGCAGCTTTAATTATTATTATTCTCACAAAGTAAGGGCCTTTTGGGGGGCTTTATCATACTCAAAAAGTTGTTAAATTTGGCATGCATATCTGGAATGAAAATGTGATAATCTTGGGGTCACGCATTAGGATACAAAGAAATGTGTCCATAGCGCCCCCTAGAAAGGTAAAAAGGTACCCCACTAGGCCAGTTTTTTCCCCCAATGCCTGATTAACTTGAAATTTGGCACACATGTGCTCTTGGACATGCTCTACAAAAAAGTCAATCATGGTATGCAAATGCGCCTAACTAGATTTTCCGCCATTTTGAATTTTGTGAAGAACACGTTTTTGGCCTTTTCTCCTAAACGCTATGTCCGATCGTGACGAAATTTTCTGTGGATCATTGTTGGGTCAATGTCCCCCTGCCATATCAATATATTGTTGATATATTCTTTTTTTAAGAAGATATGGGCTAATGAACTTCGCAAGGGGTGTGGTTTAATATTGCAAGAGTCATAACTTCCAAATGATTTGGCCTGCCCTCACCAAACTTGTAACACGTGTGAACATTGAACCCCTGAACACACCCTGATTTCTTGAGAATATTTGAAGAATAGGGGGCGCTGCTATTAATCGTTGAAAATCTGCCCTTTTGGCCTATTTTTGGCTTATTTTCGTGATTTCCTCGAGTTGTAAAAGACCGAACTCCTCCCAGGGATTAGACCCGATTCTTTTCAAATTCGCGCAGTGTGATTTTGAGGACCTAGGCTCTAAGAATTGCATTTTGCCGGAAGAAATTCCAAACTATGTGTGTAGGGACACCACCAACGAACCTGCAACGTTTCAGCGAATGATGGAGCTGGTGCTACGGGGATTGCCGTGGCAGGTGTGTATGGTGTATCTGGATGACGTGCTGATATACAGCCCCACCTTTGAGAGCCATTTCTCCAGCCTGCGTGAAGTTTTCTCCAGGATCCAGGCAGCAGGTCTCAAACTAAACCCTAAAAAGTGCCACCTAGCCCAAGATCATGTGGTGTTTTTGGGGCATGTTGTTTCTCCGCACGGCCTCCAGCCAGACCCTCGAAACACTGATAAGGTTAGAACGTGGCCTACCCCACGGAATCCAACGGAAGTAAGGGCGTTTGTGGGGTTATGTTCGTACTATAGACGTTTTGTGGAGGACTTCGCCAAGCGTGCAGCCCCTCTGCACCACCTGACATGTAAGGGCACGTGTTTCTAAGCTCAAGACTTAAAAACACTTGTACATGCCTTTATAACTAGTACGCTAGACTATTGTAATGGTCTCCTTACAGGTCTTCCAAAAAAAACTGTCAGGCAGCTCCAGCTTGTTCAGAACGCTCTGAACAAGAGTTCTAACAAAGACCAAAAAATGTGAGCACATTACACCGATTCTTAAATCCTTACATTGGCTCCCAGTGTGTCAGAGAATTCATTTCAAAATCCTACTGCTCACATATAAATCACTACATGGTTTAGGGCCAAAGTATATCACTGATATGGTTCCACTACATAAGTCTTCAGATCACTAAGATCTTCTGACACCAATCTGTTAGTGATTCCCAGAGTAAATACAAATCATGAGAAAGCATCATTTAGTTACTACGCAACAAATAGCTGGAATAAACTTCCTGAAGATTTAAGACTTGCCCCAACTCTGACCACGTTTAAAACAAGACTGAAAACGTTTATGTTCCGCTTCGCCTTCTGCTAAATTTTACCTACATTGCACTTTTAACCGCTGCCTTTAATTAAACAATTCAAACAAGATTTTAATTTATAATTTAATTTGCTGTTTTTAAATTGTCTTTTAATTCCTGCATTTTATTGCACTTTATTGTATGAAATGTTATGATGTGAAGCACTTTGAGTCTGCCCTGTGTATGAAAAGCGCTATACAAATAAAATTGCCTTGCCTTGCCTTTCCAATGGGCCGCGGACTGTGAGGAGGCTTTTGAGTATCTTAAAGGGGTGCTCTCAGGGGCCCCGATTGTCACAATGCCGGACTTCAACACTCCCTTTAAGGTTTACACGGATGCGTCCATGGAAGCGGTGGGGGCCGTATTAGCGCAAGACAGAGAGGGACTGGAGAGAGTGGTGGTGTATGCAAGTCAGTCACTCACCCCCACTGAAAGGCGTTGGTCCACCTTTGACAGAGAGCTGTGGGCTATTGTATTGTATTGTCGGAGCAACTGCCTTCATCGTGATAACCGATCATAAACCTCTGTTGGGCCTCCGCAGCATGTCTAT